GATTGTTAGCTCTAATATTCACTTCTTGTAAAAGTATGAAAAAGTATTCTGCAAGTGTTGACAGAAGCTTATCTTCCACAGAAGACAACAGAGGACTAACGACAGAAGCCTGATATTCGAGCAAGTAAGTGTGACAGAACCTCTGATGTTTCTCACAGAGGTTCTGGAAAATGGTCCTCTGTCAATAAGAACAAGCAAGTCAATTACAGCAGAGCCTTTGAGATGGCTCACAGAGGGTCTGCGGTTTCGTCTTCTGTGAAGATCCTCTCCCAACTGTTTTTCAAAGGTTGTTAGTTGCATGTGCTTCTCACGTGACTAGGTCTTTAATCGACTTTATTTGGACGGCTTAGATGATTTCACGTGTCTAGATCTTGTCAGTAAGGTCATTAGGAGCTAGTATAAATAGCGGCTACGGCCTTTGTATTCAGTGTGCTTCCGTATTGTAATTGTCAATATTTTCAATTGAATTGAAAAACCTTTGAAGCTATTCTCCTGTGTTCATCTTCTTCATCATATTAACTGTGTGTTCTTGGTTTATTTACTCTATTCTGTTCTTATTATTGTTTCCGCTGCACTGTAATCATCCTAGAGTTCATTCAGAGTAATAGATCAATATCAAAGCTGAATTTACAGGTCCAACAATCCGGCTAAACGTTTGAGCGATTTAAACATAATCCGGTCATGCCTTTTTACGAGTTAGAGCTAAATCGGATGGACTGTTAAGCGATAAACCTTGAATCCGGCTAGACTATTGACCGAGGTAGTGTCCGGGAATAAGAAGCTCGCGACTAAGTGTTGAACAAGGAAGCCAAATTCAGTTACTGAGTTGTGCGAGGATGACCAAAACTGGCTAGTGTTGTGCGATAAAACTCAAATCCGCCCAAGCTATTGAGAGGATAACAAAATGGAAAAAAAAATTTGGCTAAGTGTTGAATCCGGGTAAGTCTTGAATGCAAAGAACTTTGAATCCGATCAAGAAATGAGCGATTTAGACCAAAATAATTCGATCAAAACACAAAAACAAAACTTTTTCACCAAAATTTGGATCAAAATCCGACTTTTTCATGAAATTTTAAGAACATCAAAACTTTTCAAAAATCACAAAAATCAACAGATCTCTCAAACTAATGATCAAATCACAAAACTTTGTGAATAATAAAGATTCACGAATCAATTACGCACACTTTGATCATGTTTTTAACATCAAAACACAAAAATTTGAAAAAAATTTGAATCAAAGTGTTGAAAAAAGGAAGAACACTTGTGAACACAAGATTAACAGAAGTGAAATTTTCAGAAAATTTCTTCAAATTTGTGATTTCTTCACTTGATTTCACTGCATTCCAGCTCTGATACCAATTGTCTGTCCCACAATACGATCAATCTTCATAAACATCTAAGATACCATGGCAAACTTCATATTATCATCAAGAACACATAAGAAGAGTAGAGAGAAAAAGTCAATTCAGTCAAGCCTTCTATTTACTCTCAATATACGTATGTATTACAATTAAGCTCACTCTTCTTCAATTTCACTATAAGACAAACTATTTATAGCGTCAAACAATAAACCTCTAAACCTCTAGTCAAAGTCAACAACTACATACAAAGTCAAACAAGCTAATATTACAATTATAAACTTTCAAGACAAATACAATTTATCACTAAAATTCAATCCTAACACAAACTCAAAGTCAACTAACATAAGCATACATACAGAAAATCAAAGTTTAGTTGTTCGAATAAATAACCAGTGCATAAGAAAATATAGTTACATGTTTTTCCCCCAAAACGATTAAATAATAAAAGGGGGTTGTGAAAACTCACTGGAATATGCGATGTCTGAAACAAGACGTCCAATGAATATCAACCAAAGTCTAATCCTACTTCGATCCTACGAAACATAGGGATACTAGTAAGATTCTGATCATATCTTATGGTTCCGGAAAGTGCTTAATAATAAAACTCTTTGTCTAATAATTATTATTAAACGGATAACTTTATATATATATATATATACATATATTTATATAAAGAGAAAATTTTAATTTGTTGCATAAAAGATTGGTAAATAGAATCTTAGGGATGTAACATTATTGTAATTCCCTTGCATGCATGGTTATGTTTGCTACTCCATGCATCTTATGCATGTGTTATATGTTTAACTTATTTTAACGAAAAACGTATGTTTATAAGAATTAAAGTGTAAAAGAAATTTTCTGGATTTTTACATTCCTGACAGAATCTTTCTTGTCTTATTAAGTCCATTTTTTTTGGCAATCTCCCAAAATCTTTTGAACAGGGGATTTTTACACACTTTAGTACTTTGGGTTAGGGAAATTTTGGTATGATATTTAAAGTATGTTCATGAGTAAAATGGGTGTTTTCACACCATCTTGATAGGATCAAAAAGATGAAAGTTGAAGATTGCTTGATTTTTAGTTAGAACTTTGATCTTAACTTTGGTTTGACCATGGATTCATCACTTTTATGAACATGCAACATGTTTGGTGATGAATCTACAAACATTAAGATTTCAAAGAAAGTTCCTAATAAGAACAAGTTTGAAATCAAAATAGAAGAAGAAAAACTCAAGAATAATGCAAGAAAACTAAACCTAGACAACAAAAGATGAATTTTTAACACTATGATGCATGTTTACCTTTAAAAATACCTTCAAGAATCCTATGAAGGATGTAAAAATGGCTGGACTTTAAAGTCTTTTGCAAGAGAATAGGGAGAAGTAGAGAGAATTCTAGAGAGAGAAGTTAGAGAGATGATGGGAATTTCAAAATGAGGGATTGTGAAAAGTGTGAGAAAGTATTTATATAAGAGAAATGAAAGATGAAAAGTGTGTGTGTGTATGTATGTTGGTTGGCCATAGAGGAGAGAAAAGAGGGTGGAGCGGTGTGAGGAATGTGTGTATAACTGTATAAGATGATTAAAAAGAAAGAAAAAGTATTGGTTGGTTTTTATTATTGATTTTTGATGTAATTTAGGGATTATTCTAAACTTTAATAATGAAATAAAATTTGAACTTTATAAAAATAATTTATATATATATATATATATATATATAACTTATTTTTATAATTTAGATTGTTAAAATTGGCAATTTATGTGATAATTAAGCATTTTTCTCATTTAAGGCAAAACTAAGCTTATATTTAAATTTTCTTAGTGGGATCATAACTAATGCTCTACTTTCCTAATTTAGAATGTTTTAGGTCTAAACTTCCTAAAATAGAAAGTGGAATCTAAATCTGCCATAAATAGAAAGTTGAATCTACACTGAGCTAAAGTGGAAATAGACGGGTGTCACACAGAACCACCCGTAAAAGTAAAAATATCGGTGATGGTCAATGGTGGTTTAGATCGACGGTGCTTCAGATCGGTAGTAGTTGGCGGTGGTTTAGATCGATGGTGGTCAATGGTGGTTCAGATGGCGATGGTCCATGGTGGTTCAGATGGCGATTATCGGCGGTGGTTCAGATTGACGGTGAATCAGATCAATGGTGGTTCAGATCGGAGGTGGTTCTAGTCGGTGGTGGTGGTTGACGGTGGTTCAGACCAGTGTTGGTCGGTGGTGATGGTCAGCGGCGGTTCAGACCGGTGGTGGTGGTCGGCGGTGGTTTAGATCGGTAGTAGTTGGCGATGGGTTCAGATCGATGGTGGTCCGTGGTGGTTCAGATGGCGATGGTCGACAGTGGTTCGGATCGGTGGTGGTCCATGGTGGTTCAGATTGACGGTGAATCAGATCAATGGTGGTTCAGATCGGTGGTGGTGGTGGTCGACGTGGTTCAGACCAGTGGTAGTCGGTGGTGGTGGTGGTCAGCGGTGGTTCAAATCGGTTGTAGTCAACGGTGGTTCAGACCGGTGGTGGTGGTCGATGGTGGTTCAGACCAGTGGTAGTCGGTGGTGGTGGTGGTCAGCGGTGGTTCAAATCGGTGGTAGTCAACGGTGGTTCAGACCGGTGGTGGTGGTCGGCAGTGGTTCGGATCGGTGGTTCAGATCGGTGGTAGTCGGTAGTAGTCGGTGGTGGTGGTGGTCGGCGGTGGTTTAGATCGGTGGTAGTCGGTGGTGGTGATCGGCGGTAGTTCAAATCAATAGTGGTCGAGAGGTGGTTGATGATGGTCATATTGAATTTTATGAGATTAGAGTATATTAGGTTAAGAACATATTTGGTATAATGAAGATAGAGATTCCATTCCATCGAAATACCATAGAGTTGCAAAAGAATGTTGAATTCCTTTATTTGTGGAATTTGTAGGATTTTGAAGATTCATTTCGTGAAAAAGAATGAACCAAACGAGGGAATGAAATTTGGTCAATGGAATTCAACATTCCAATTCCATGAAAAAGAATGAACCAAACGAGGGAATGAAACTTGGTCAATGGAATTTAACATTCCAATTCCATCAGATTCCTCCAGAATCTGCGAACCAAACGCCACCTTAGACTAATATCCCTTGAGTAAACAGACCTATTTAACATAAGCTAGTCTGAGGGAACATAAGTGAAACAAAATGACAACCACAATGACCAGAGTTGTAATTAGTTCAAAAGAAGAAGAGAGTTGATATAGGGTGGGCATTATATCATAACCAAAACTCAATCAATAAGTAATGATTACCATCAAAAAGAGAAGAAAAAAATAGAAAACTTGAAATGAAAAGAGTCCGAAAGAAAGCAAAATGCTTTTCAGATAATAAGTGGAGAGGTGTAAAATATGAGTTCCCAAGTTTTGTATTCTTTGTACATACAAGTGATGCCACTTGCACATTGGTAAGCCAACTTTTTGGCACCATGTTTGTCTATACATACAAACCTATTTTACATCTACACACTCACTGTACACCAAAATCCCTGCTAACTTGGCCTCCACCTTACCTGCTTTTCTTCTTACAAGATTGCACACAGCAATGGCAGTAGCCTTAACCTTAAGCAGTATGAGCATCAGTAGCAGTAGCACCTTTGCAAGTTTTGTAAAACTGTGCATCATACTTGAACCCGATCGGTCATGTTCTCATATGACGTATTGTTGGACCAAGTTATCTCTATTTCAAGTGTTCTTGAAGAACCCTCCTTGTTGCTGCCATGCCCTTGCCTAAGGCTAAAACCCCCACTGTATACTCCTTCACTCACAACTTTGTCGATCTGGATGGTCACTACCCCCAGGCTCGTCTGCAATAAAAGCACATTTCTCATAAAACACTTAAACAAGAGAGTAGGTCAAAAGGAGTTATAATTCTAATTTAGTTATACATTAGTACACCCAAGTCCCATTTCCCAGCACTGCTTGTAGAAAATGGGTTGACTTGGCCTAGTGCTTTACTTATCCGAGAGGAGATGAAGTTATGACAAATTAGATTCGGCAGTAAGCCAACCAAACCAAACCAAACAAGCTGAGTATATCACACCCAGATGTAGGTTTTGGGGGTGGGATGTAAGCAGACCTAATCTTTACCCTACTCTGATCTCTTGGCTACTAAGAGCAGCTAACAAAAATGTGTCATTTCATCACCATTTCCAGAATGATTACTCCCAATGATGATAACTGATTTTTGCTCCCAAATGAAGGATGATATCCATCTAATCGTCATTCAAATGTAACAGTTTCAGAGATCAAATGTAACTAACTAATCAAAGGAAGCTAGTTGACTAATTTACCTTCCCGAACGTATTTTTGCTCAGGCATTGGATGTGTAACTTCTGCCCCTTTGGGGGCACATCAAAAGCCCATGTAAACCCTTCTTTCCATTCCGGAGATGTGTTGTGGCTCACAACCTGAATATTGTAGAATACTGTTAGAATCAATTATAAGTTTCTGAACACCAAGGAAAAAATGTCGCTTCCTGCATCTCTAGTATAAAGCAAAGAGAAAACCACAATACAATTATTTGAAGCATCATTAATTCAATCTGAAACATGCCAAAAAGGGGGGAAAGCTACACACACATGGAAATTACTCGTGATCAATTAAGGGAAAAAGATAAACTTAAAGCAGCCACAAATGAACGAAGGAATATTTTAGTTGTACTTTCCTTCTTTACACTCACACTTGCACATAGTACTAGTGCAAGATACTTGTGTCCAACTGATACAACTGATCTTCTGTGTAGCAATCCCTACTTCCATTTTTCACATAAACATACACTTGGAACTGATGCCCCCTCCATTACACAAGCATCATGATTTCAACTTGAAAATTGATATGAAACTTTTATCTTTTATGAAAATACCGATAACTACATTTGGCCATACATGAAACATAAATAGAAAATAATATCGGTGGTAAAAATGTAACACAGAACATATATCCTACCACTGCCTATGAGGAAGGTATAAAGCGAAAAGAATAATTTCATGCCTTATTAAAGAATAAGATATCAAATAACATATTTTTTACAGTGAGAATTTTCTTTTTGAATATCAAATTGGCATTACCTTTGTTTGGTGGAATGGACCCTGGCCTATTTTCAGTCTACAGAAAGCATTTGTGCCTCCAATGACCTGCTTTAAATTGTTAGCACACTTGACAGTAACAGTCAGACAACCTGGTAAACAATGCAACAAGCTATCTGCTCTCTCATGGAAGCCTGGGGGGCAGGTCTTCATGAGCATTTGGAGGATTGGAATAGCTTCTGATGTAATCACCAACTGAGACTTGGAGACATCTATTGGCATAACTGTCCATGAACGTTTCAACAGGCATAATGTGTTTAGAACAGAATCCTGAGCAGCCTCTTTACCAGACTTCAGAGCTGTTAGTAAATGGGGAATACAGAGAGTAGCAGCTTCAGAAACATGCAGTTTAGGGAAGTTAGAGAATATAACATGTATGGTCTTCAGAACCTCCTCGTTTATAGTTGCTGTTGCCCACAATTCTCTCTCTAAAGCAGCTGCAATACAGTAACAAACGTCATATTTTGAAGAAGATATATTTGGAGGCCAAAGCTTAACTTTCCATTCAATCACAATAAAAAATTTGTGAACTACGAGGTTGCTACTGTAACCAGAGTTACCACCTGCACATTTACACATCATCAATAAACCAATCACTTGAAATAAAGAGCTTTATTATGGCAAGCAAAAGACATTAACTTCTAAGTTCATGGCCTTGACAAAAAATCAATGGCTTTTAAAGCTTAACCTAATTTCTTGACATGGAAACAGATAATATGAAAAAGGTTCACTCAAAGATCCTGCAGTTCAATGAAGTGCTAGAATTTCAGTCATAATAAAAACATATAAAAGAAATAATGAAAAGCTTTCCCCATAACAAAAGATGGACGTACTTGGACATCATTTTGTTTCAGTTTTCAAACCTGGCCTTTTCCTTGTATGGATCTGGCCATGAAAGAGGAGCAGCCTAATCTTTTCCTCAGTGTCTCAATATGTAGACTGAACGGTATGGTTGACGGAACAACTAACCTGCACCCCTATCTATCCAGACACTGATGAAGACCGCTGTGATCAGTGGGACAGAGAGAAGAAGTATTCTTATTTACTGAATAATAATTACAAAGGAGAGGCGTGTATATATATAGACACAAATAAGAAACCCAAACCCAAATAAGCAAAGGCCCGTACGGCCCATCAGAAACCCTAAACGGACATAATATTTACAATATATTCTAACACTCCCCTCAAGCTGGAGCATAGATATTGA